GTTTTCGCTCACCGGGCGACACTTCGGACTCCATGGACTCGGAACATGGTCTAACAGGCGGTTCCGCTCGTGGTCTCACCGGGCGCGGTGAAGGTGAACATCTCAGAGTCCAATGTTCACCTTGGAGTATACGAACCCTTAAGGTGTTAAAACATCTCAAGGTATACGAACCCTTGTGCAGGTGGTGCTTTGTTTTGCCCGAGTCAAGAGACTTATGGGTTGGGTTGGCGACGTGACTAGACTCTGAGCACCTGGTCTCGGGGGACTGCTTCAGGGTTGAAGCAGTTTCGGGCTATCAGGGACCCCCTAGGCACACGCCACTTCACCGAAGGTTAGGCTCCAAGAGTTCCATGCTTGAGTGTCATCAGCGGGTCGAACGTTCCGTCGGATGAACGAACCGACTCCACCGACTCCCTAAGACAGTCGTCTCACGTCGTCGGTGGATGTGACTGTGGGCTCCAAACCTGGAGCTCCACACCGACCTTGGCTGGTATTCTGTTCATGTTCATGTTCGGTGGTCCTCTGAAGAAAACTTCTGGTGAAGCAAGCCTTAAAGATCATGTTGGGGCAAAGCCGGCAAACTCACATATGAAGCACCAGAATGAATACATCACACTGTTCACCGGATAAAGAATAAGTGAAGTAGTGAAGTAGTGAATGAAGCTTCCAATGAATCCTCCAAATGCAGCCGCAGCCGCTTTGTTTTGATTTGTCCATAGCCATAGCTCCCTAATCGAAGTCTACTGCAGTGTTTCAATGTGTTTTATGATTTTCGTTTAATGAAACTAAAAAGTTGTCTGGGCGTTAAACACATCAATGACACAACTCACCACGTCCCAAGCGTGTCCGGGTCTTTGATATAGATCACCCTCTAGACTCTTCAAGTACTCCAACAAAGAAAAAGCAAGAGACACGTGCCCCCATCAATTTCACCAGCTTTTTCGAAAAAGGACACCAGCCACATGGCGAACAAACATTTATAACTCTATTGGGGACACCTGGTCGATATGTTTCTTTACAGACCGGGGGGGCAAAGGTCAAAGGTCTGTTCCACCTGCCACAGACCGTACGTCCAGTCGACCCCACGTCCAGGTCGATCGGGCACTTTTCGTACGTCGGATGGCAGACACGGTGAGACTCTTTGAGTCTAATCTTTGGCAGTTTTGGCTGCTCTTTTGTTGATTCCTGGGTGCCTGAGCCTTAATCGCCGACGCTTTCCGCTTTCCGGTGAGTTGGAGTGGCCGTATCGGAGTTATAGGAGTCAAGCGACGTTTTTGCCCCGCTGAAGTTCAGCCGCTGAAGATGCCAATCCCTACGCAAGTGAAACCCTCTAAATGCACCACAATGTTGCCCAATACCTTTACTACAGCCTTTATACATGAACAGACATCAAAAGTTTCTATCCGATTCTATCCCTATGCTTCCGACCAGTGATTTACTTGTTTTTGCATGGGCCTTACAGAACAACCATTGTTCTACTAGGGAATCTAGAGAAAAAGAACCAACCGGATCAGCCAAACTCCTTCAACGGCCGAACGGGTTCGGCTGAGCATATCTGTGGATAGTGAGGATGACAAAAACGTATCTATGGAAGTCTTGCACCCCACTGATGAATCCATTCTATGGAAGTCTGCGTTTTGATCTTCCCTGATGAAGGATATCTCGAGTGCTCTGAACCTGAACAGATTCTGTTCCCAGAAGTGAGGAGCTCTAAGCAGATCCTTCGACAGGTGTTGAGGATACTATCCGAGCAGAAGGAAGCAAAACTGGTGTATACAGTCTTGGAGGAAATCCGGAAAAGTACCGGCCTGAAGCTAGAAGTGTCCCATTACGTAGTCTGCATATCAACTTGTGCACGAGCCAAACAGTGGCAGGACGCATTGAAGTTGTTTGAGACCATGCCGAAGGCAAACATTCAGCCAGATGTCATCAGCTACAATGCAGCCATCAGTGCCTGTGAGAAGGGCGGGCAATGGCAGCACGCATTGTTGATATTGTTTGAGACCATGCCCATGACGAAGGTTCAACCAGACGTGATTAGCTACAACGCGGCCATCAGCGCTTGTGAGAAGCGTAGGCACTGGCAACAAGCATTGAAATTGTTTGAGGTGATGTCGAAAGTCAAAGTTCATCCATCTGTCATCAGCTACAGTGCGGCCATCAGTTCCTGTGAGAAGGGCGGGCAATTGGAGCAAGCATTGATATTGTTCGAGGCCATGCCAAAGGTAAAAGTTCAGCCAAACATAGTCAGCTACAATGCGGCCATAAGTGCCTGTGAGAAGGGCGGACAATGGCAGCAAGCATTGCAGTTGTTTGAGGCCATGACCAGGGCGAATGTTCAGCCAGATGTGATCAGCTACAATGCAGTCATCAGTTCGTGTGAGAAGGGCGGGCAATTGCAAAGAGCATTGAAGTTGTTTGAGGTGATGCCCAAGGCAAAAGTTCAGCCAGGTGTCATCAGCTACAACGCGGCCATGAGTGCCTGTGAGAAGGTCGGGCAATGGCAGCAAGCATTGAAGTGTTTTCAGTCCATGCCCAAGGCGAAGGTCAAGCCAGATGTGATCAGTTGCAATGCAGCCATGAGTGCCTGTGAAAAGGGAGGACAATTGCAGCAAGCATTGAAGTTGTTTGAGTCCATGCCCAAAGCAACACTTCAACCATCGGTCGTTAGCTACAGCGCGGCCATCAGTGCCTGCGAGAAGGAAGGCGACTGGCAGCTAGCAATGAAGTTGTTTGTGTCCATGCCAAGGACAAAAATTCAGCCAAACATCATCAGCTATAATGCGGCCATTAGTGTTTGCGAGAAGGGCGGGGAATGGAAGCAAGCATTGAAGTTGTTTGAGGCTATGCCTAAGGCAACAGCTCAAGCAGATGTCATCAGTTACAGTGCAACCATCAGTGCCTGTGAGAAGGGCGGGCAATGGAGGCATGCATTGAAGCTGTTTGAGGCTATGCCTAAGGCAAAAGTTCAGCCAAATGTAATTAGTTACAGTGCAGTTATCAGTGCCTGCGAGAAGAGCGGGCAATGGCAGCAAGCATTGATGTTGTTTAAGGCCATGCCTAAGGCGAAAGTTGAGCCCAACATCATCAGCTACACTGCGGCCATCAGTGCCTCCGAGAAGGGCGGGCAATGGAAGCAAGCTTTGAAGTTTTTTGAGGCCCAAAGTTCAGCCATCGGTCAACAGCTATACAATCTGGCCGGTAATTTGCATTGTCATTGAAGTTGCTGGAGGTTGTGCCACAGTACGTTCATCAGTCTTTCTTGAGACGAAGGTGCATTTGCAGCGAGTGTTGATCTTGATTGAGACATTTTGAGGCCATGTCCGAGGTCAAGCGTCATCCGGATCTTTAAACTTACAATGTTTGGGTCGGTCATTCCAAATTTTGGCAGCGGAACTGTACTTACCTACATCGGGGTGTTTTTGCACTCAATGTAAGCATTCCATACATGGATAATTTTGGCGAAGAACCCAGGTGGGTGGATGCTGTCGCCTTGACGGGAATTGACCTGTTGCTTTGATCACAGTTTGTTTGGCAGTGCTCAAGCTGACGTAGCCAAAAATGGCAGAGAAGCAGAACCTCCTCCTGCGTGCCATGGCCATTGCGAGCACTGGCGCCTGTGCCTTGACGTTTCACTGGTCGTTCGCTTCCCAGCAGGTTGAGCACCAAGAAGTCCGAAACGACGTTCAATCCCCGCGAAGCCACACAAAGCTGCCGCCTTCACAACCTGCCAACGGGCGACCGTGAACAGCGGAGTTGGTTGCGGATGTTTGATGAGTTTGAGAGAGTGGGGTGAGAGCTACTTGCTTTGGTCTCCAGTATTGGAATGTGATGTTTGACCGGCCTACCTTACTTCATCTTACTTCTATATTTGAGCTTGGTGTGCTTCAACAATCTTGAGCTTTCCTTGCCTGCCTTCGTTTGGCATCGATCTTGCCTCAGTTGTAACAAGCAAAAGAAAGAACGCCTCGGAGCAGTGCGGAAGCGATCGGGATGCGATTGGTCCCTTCTCGGTGAGCGAAAAGCAGCGGATATTGGTGAGGAAGTCCACTCAGATCCGCTGATGGATGGCTTGGGAGATCAACCGGATGGGAGTTGTTGTTGTTTTTTTGTTTGGGTATCATGCTATATTGTTGCTATATTGTGTGTGTGGATCATGAACTTGTGAAGGGGAAGATGTTGTTTTTCTTTTCCCGTGGAATTCCAGGCACATCTTGGCAATTCCAGGAACTGGGACAATGGGACGTTTGAAGTTTGGAAGATCATGGCATGAAGGCTTTTCCGGGCGTTGTGAAGATCATGGCAGCCATAGCTTGCTTGACAGTGATTCAGGCCCGCGTACCCACAGACACATACAGACACCCCCAATGTTAGAGAGAGAGACACTGGCACTCTAAAAAAGAGGGGTTTCAGGGGTCCATGATAGATTAAGTATGGTTAAGTTATGTATATATATACACAATTATACACACATCGTTCTACATCTATGATTTCCCAGACACATTGGTTTCTGTTCAACCACCAGTGGCCACTGTCAGTCACCGTACGCGTGTCCCGTGAGTTTTCACGGCCGTTCCGAAAGGGAAGTGAAAGACGCAAAACGCCCACAGGTGTTGTTTGATGTTGTTCTAAGAAGGATATTTGTGAATCCACTACATATATATATATAGATAGATCCGAGGTTTGGACTGGAAGTGGTGAGTTGTTTTTTCGTCCCGAGGTTCAATCGGATTGGCAGGAGGTGAGTAGAAATTGCTAGCGGCATCAATTTGCGTGCCCGACAGAAACGGTCCAACGCACTATTAGTATGCTAACGTTTGATCGTCACCAGTGGACCGTCCTGGTCAGCTTTCGCACGTTGAAGTTGTGGCCGGAGACTTTATATTTAGACCCTTTCTTTGGGATAGAGATAGGCGACCTTCCTCTAAGATTCTCTTTGAGACCTACATAAATTGAGTTACTGTACAAGAGTCAAATTTGCAGATTCACAGAGAATCTATGTGGGGGTGTGGAGGGCCAAATTCAGGATGTAAGGGACCCTTTTTTACAACCCTCAATTGTTCATCTCGTGTCGTTCTGAAACTGCCCTTGGACCTCACCGCTTTGGTTGATCAGTCAGGGTTTTCTGGGTGCCTCTTTGAGACCACCATGGAAGGCTTCTGCTGGTGACCACTGGCTCAAGCGGACGTGGCACTGCCATGCATCCATTGCCCTCCAGCGCAGCTTCACCACCAATCCTCTCCGACCCCCGCGCCACGGAACTGCTACGGCAGAGACAGGCTGGACACGCAGGGACGTTTCTCTACACGGAAGCCGAACGAATGTGAGTTGTGACGTTTGTGACGTTTCTCCCACGTTTCTCTAAGGTCGTTTGATCATCTCCCTTTTCGGGACGACTGGTCAGGAAATGTACACCAGAGCCCCCGGTTGGGGTGGTTAGGAGACACCCCTTAACCTCTTAGATTTTTAATGCGCTCGGTGAACTTTCAGTACCAGAAACGCGCCAGGAGAGGAACAATGCTCTTGCCTCAGTCACGCAACCACGAGGAGGGCGAGTTCGTTCAGGGTTCAGCCTGGGCGTGCTTTGGTCTGCTGGTGCTCACCATTCATCAATGGTCCTCGGCCGACAAAGATCCAAGCAGACCTGGAGGACAAGTCCGCGAGGAGCTCCAGAAGAGAGCACAGAAAGGTGGGACAAAAACGGAGGAAACTCCTAGTCAGGCCGACCAAGCTGATGTTCAGCTTTCATCCCGAGTTAGTGGGCCAAAACTGGTCAACTGGACCCGGTCAGAGGTTGTTGGGGTTAAGTATACTTGGAGGGAAACATGTGTCACAACCCAATAGGGATCAAGGAGTCGTGAAGGGACCCCCCGTTGTTGCCGGACAGCTTAAGCTTGGCCACCAACAACAACGGTCGAACAGTCTCGGTTCCCTTTGGGATCGAAGCACGGAGTCTTTGAAACTACAAAAGTCCACAGTCGACTTGAGTCCTTCTTTGAAGTCCGGCTACCCTCTGAAAATGTAGTACTAGATGTCAAGCATTTGGTTACGGAAATTCCTGCAGAACCCCCACACTGCCTTTCCTCTAACTGTTTGGTGTGTTTATTTTAACATCCAAAGCCTTGCTTCAGACGGCCGGCCGATCCCAAGTCTGGCATTCTCAGGTCCCGAACCTCCCCGTGCCGTCCGGTTCTCACTTCGGATCTTCGAGATGAGTTGCAGAAGCTCTGCGATGGACACGGAACGGCCGGTGGCTCCAGACACCCGGATGAAGGTGTGCAGGTGTTCGGTTGCCCCCTTCCCCTATGGCACCACAGTGTGCTTGGGGTAGCGATTTTTGGAGATCGATGGAGAACACCCACCCCTTTTGTTGTGACCTTTTTGATGCAGCCAATTCCATCTAAGTGCCTTGGTACCGGCCTAATTCTAGGGTTTGGTGAGCGGCCTGGCATTGGAGTCCAGTCATGCATGTGTAATGCACAGACCGGACGAATAAACCGCCCCACCACATATAAGCTCAACAAGGTCCAGAAGGTCCAAGGTACCATTCATGAGGTCCACTCCCCCTGAAGAATCTGCAATGAGATGCAATGAGATGCTATGAGACCATGAAGGTTTGAGAGGGGATGAGCGGATGAGCATGAGGCCAGGGTATAGATATAGGAAGCAATGGGTTCATAGGAACCAAGGCATGAGCAGGCTAGTTGATGAATATTTAATACGGTAATACGGTAAATTAAATCAATAAACTTTCCTTAGTTAATCAAAAAACTAAAGCACTGTTGGGTGAATTTCCGGGCTGTGTGGTCGGATTAACTAGGGGAGGTCTATTGTTCATCCTATGTTTGCATCACATGCAGGGCATGATGCAGTGCCTTGAGAATTCAACTGCATTCAGTGGCCGTTTCCTCCTTTCAGGGAGTCGAGTTTCACGCGAGCCGATGCTGTTGATCTTGACTTTGAACTACTGGTACCCAAATGAGCCATGCGGCCCTGTAGGTCAATTGAAGCTGCGGCCCTGCGCGGCCCTGCGCGGCCCTGCGCGGCCCTGCGGTCTCACCACCCCTTGGGGAACAAATACTGATGGTACACTCCCTGCGGTCTCACCATGGGTCGGTCCTTGACCCCACAAGCTGGTCATCCAAGCGGCGCCGTGCCATCCGCTGGAAATGATTCTCTCAGAGGCAGTGTAGCCCAGACCAATGAGATTGGCGACGGTCCATTGACGGTCAACCACTCCTGGCCCTTTCTTTGTAGATTGTTTCATGGAGTGAAGGTTGGACCACGACCGCTGTCACGCTGAGTGTGTGTTCTTTTTAGCGATGTTCATCGAAATTCATGTTTGTTTTTTTGTCGCATGTAGTGAAGAAGGACAGGTGTTTTTTGCTGTTTTCACAGTCTTTTCTTGCATGCTGCCTCAGTGCACACCCATACAGTAGATACTCTTCTACGCTGCGCTACACTATGCGACTGACTTTGAGTGGGGTGGGGTGCGGTGGGTTAGGATGTGCGCGGGTCTTAACGTTCGCTTCAGAGTGCACAACTATACATTAGAAACTCTTCTCTGCTACGCTACACTGTGCGACTGACTTTGAGTGGGGTGGGATGGGGCGGGGTGGGGGGGATGTTAACGTTCGCTTCTAAGTACACAATTACATTAGATACTTACCATCCAAAAGCAAGTTTTAGTTTTGCTATTTTCCAATACGTAAAATTTCAAGGCAGATTTTGGAAAATGTGCACGGCGCCCCGGCGCCATTAACATTTTTGCCCAAGACAGTGCTCATTTTGCGCCACGGCGCAATAGGGGTCGTGCACCGTGTAGAAACTTAGATCTTCACTGATTGGACATGCACCTGTATGGGATTCAATTCGCACCCCTGTTGACTCTTTGAGGTGCAATGCTACATGCAACAGATCTATGGAATAAGATGAACGCCCACTTAAAGGAACAGCCACCATTGATTCAATAGCCTTTGCCAAACAACAACTAAGGATTTTACACTACAAACCAGGTCAACCATTCTTTTGATGGTCTTCGAAACATAGGGAACATGTTTGTATGGAAGTGGCTCCCCGCTGATTGGACTCTTTGATGATCTTTGATGTGTTTTGATGTTCCCAGCGGTAAGACCAAGGAAACCTCGAGTACTTTCTCGAACAGATTATGTTCCCAGAGGTGAGGAACTCCCAGAGGTCGATCCTTCGACAGATTCTGAGGATACTGTCCGAGAAACAGGAGGCGCAACTGGTGTATACTGTCTTGGAGGCCATCCGGACACATAGCAGCCTGAAGCTAGAAGTGTCCAATTATGTAGTCGGCATATCAACTTGTGCAAAAGCCAAACAGTGGCAGGAAGCATTGAAGTTGTTTGAGACCATGCCGAAGTCAAAAATTCAGCCAGATGTCATTAGCTACAGTGCGGCCATCAGTGCCTGTGAGAAGGGCGGGCAATGGCGGCATGCATTGAGGTTGTTTCAGGCAATGCCCAAAGCGACAGTTCAGCCAGATGTTATCAGCTACAATGCATCCATCAGAGCCTGTGAGAAGGGCGGGCAATGGTGGCAAGCATTGAAGCTGTTGGTGGATATGCCTAAGGAAATAGTTCATCCGTCAGTCATCACCTACAGTGCGGCCATCAGTGCCTGCGAGAAGGGCGGGCAATGGCAGCAAGCATTGACCTTGTTTGAGGTCATGCCAAAGGCAACAGTTCAGCCAAACATAGTCAGCTACAGTGCGGCCATCAGTGCATGTGAGAAGGGTGGGCAGTGGCAGCAAGCCTTGAAACTGTTTGAGGCCATGCCCAACGCATCAATTCAGCCCAACATATTCAGCTACAGTGCGGCCATCAGTGCCTGTGAGAAGGGCAGGCAATGGCAGCAAGGATTGAAGTTGCTTCAGATTATGCCCATGGCAAGAGTTCAACCATCGGTGATCAGCTACAGTGCTGCCATCAGTGCTTGTGAGAAGGGCGAGCAATGGCAGCAAGCTTTGCATTTGTTTGAGGCCATGCCCAGGTCGAAAGTTCAGCCTGAGCTGGTTTGCTACAATGCGGCCATCAGTGCCTGCGAGAAGGGCGGGCAATGGAAGCAATCAGTCAAGTTGTTTGAGGCCATGCCCAAGGAAAACGTTCAGCCGGATGTCATCAGCTACAATGCGGTCATCAGTGCCTGTGAGAAGGGCGGGCAATGGCAGAAAGCTTTGAATTTGTTGGAGACGATGGAGATGTCAGATGCTGGCCCCGACGTAGTCAGCTACAGTGCGGCCATCAGTGCTTGTGAGAAGGGCGGTCAATGGCAACGAGCATTGAAGTTGTTTGAGGCCATGCCAACAGCGATGGTTGAGCCCAACGTCATCAGCTACAATGCAGCTGTCAGTGCCTGTGAGAAGGGCAGGCAATGGCAGCAAGCATTGAAGTTATTTGTGGCCATGCCCAAGGCAGAAGTTCAGCCAAACATAATCAGCTACAATGCGGCCATCAGTGCCTGTGAAAAGGTCGGGCAATGGCAGCAAGCCTTGATCTTGTTTGACGCCATTTTTGAGGCAAGAGTTCAGCCATCGGTCATCAGCTACAGTGCGGCCATCAGTGCAATGGAGAAGGGCGGGAAATGGCAGCACGCTTTGAAGTTGTTTGATACCATGCCTAAGGCAAGAGTTCGGCGTGAAGTGATCAGCTACAATGCGGCCATCAGTGCCTGTGAGAAGGGCGGGCAATGGAAGCAAGCATTGAAGTTGTTCGAGGCCGTGCCCAAGTCGAAAGGTCATCCCGATGTCATCAGCTATAGTGCGGCCATCAGTGCTTGTGAGAAGGCCGGGCAGTGGCAGCAAGTATTGCAGCTGTTTAAGCTCATGCCCAGTGCACGAATTCAGCCAGCGGTCATCAGCTACAGTGCCGCCATCAATGCTTGTGAGATTGGTGGGCAATGGCAGCAGGCATCGACGTTGTTGGAGGCCATCGGTCATCGGCTTCTGTGCAGCCATTTGTGCCTGTGAAATGGTGGAGCATTTGCTTCAGGTAATGACAGCGCAAGTTGGTGCCGCAAAATCATCCAAAGTCTGTTTTGCTTTGTTTGATCACATTTGGTGGACCTTTGAATCCGGATTGGTATCGATTGGCTGGCTCAGGGGACGTGACCAGTGAGATGCGCCCCGTTTGGTCGCACACACCTGACCGGAGCAGCACTGGAGGAGCCATGCTTTGCCATGCGCCATGCTTTGCCCGTTGATTGGTTCGAACCGTGGGACTGGTTGAAATAGAGGTGTCGAAGCATTGACCCTAGTTTCAACCACCCCAGCATACGTAAATATGCCGGACAACCACCCCAGCATAAGTAAATATGCCGGACATGGAGGCTCCAGGCCATTAATTTTGGCTAAGAATCGGGCCGAAGCTGGAATTTAGCTGCTTTGCCACAGAGCTGGCATGTCACTTTTGTGGCAAAGCTGGCAAAGAGTGGGATGTGCTCCAGGCAAGTCCATACAGACATGGGACTGGAATTTTGTTGCTTACATGGATGGGTCATTTTCATGGGGTCAATGCATGTAACTATTCCCGTCCCATGTTGAATCTATACCAGTCAGAAAACAATTAACCAACTATCATCATCATCATCATCATCATCATCATCATCATCATCATCATCAT